GTCTGGAAATGAAACTTTAACCAGTTTGCATTCCGAAGAATGCAGCAGGAGCAGAGCCGGCTGGTTACTCTAAATTCGGTTTCATTTTTTTTTTCGAAGCAAAGCAGGTATACGCGGCCATCATTCCATCTCTCCTTTCTCTCTGTCCTTCTTTTGTGTGCACTGTTCTGCGCTCTCTATATTTCGAGGCAGTTTTTCGCACGTTTTACACACGAATATGGTTTTTTATTCTCTTGTTTCACTTTGTCAGCACTGCATTTGTGCAAATACAACTAAATTTTCACCGAAATGCACGTCTTTCGTTGCATTTGTTTCAACAAGCGGCGGCGACGACGGCAGCGTCGGCGACAGGCCGGCGACTTTTGGGCGTTAAAATTATTCTACATGCATTTCTTGTTTCTTGTCGCGCTTGCTTTTCGCCTCCGGCTCTCGATGTTTTCTCGCACTCGCACTGGGACATGGATCCCGACTACCGACTATATTGCTGGCAAGCTGCGTTTTGCAATGGCGTTTTATATGGAAATTGTGCGGTTTTATTTGTTTTAAGCGACAGCTGCACTTTAGCGCACCAACACACACACACACACAGGAACTCACATTTCGACGCGCGACGCGTCTTTTTGCTTCGAATTTTTTTTTTGAGTGTGGCTGTAGATTTTGTTAAACAACAGACCCCGCGCAACACTAAAAAAATACACCGAAATACATGGTGAGATTTTTAAAATATACCGTAAATATACCGAATACAAACCACCTTTTCTACATTTTGATATTCCGTTTAATATTACCAGAAAGGAGGGATTCTTAGACATGAAACTATACTTTTATTCGATTGAAGAGTCAATTCTCTATAATAAAGTTTACTATAACTACTATTTTTGTGTTACTGTATTATATGTTTTGTGGTTTAAACAAATAAGGTTTAAAAAAATGTGATGGTATTCTACATTGTAACTACACTTTACTACTCATGATTTACATATTTAGAGTTGCTGATTTTTGTTATTGGTATTTAATGGCATGGCCCATTCCGATTGACTGTTCAAACTTAAAACACTGAAGGCCCCCTTTTAAATAGGTAACCACTTGGTCCAAATTCGCGAAAACAGCGTGTAAATGTTTATTGTAGCCACCCATCCACCCTGTTTACGAATAAATTCGAAGGGGCACCGTTTCATTCAGCTAAACTGCGTTAAAATTCTTTAAGTTTCATTCATTTCTTAGTTTACACTCAAACTCCCATTGGTCAACAGAAGGTTAATCGCTCTCGGCTAATGACAATTCACTTGATTTTAATATTCTGTTTAATATTGCCATCCAACTTAGACTCTCAGCCGTGGAACTACAATTTTCGACGATTGTACAATACATTCGCCGCAATATTGGCCTATTCTTCGTGACATCTTTTATAGGATTGTTTACAAAAATAACGATTTAGCTGAAAGGGAAAGTTTTTAGAATGTTTTGTTATTTGACAATTTGTTGCTGGCCACCCAGTGGTGTGTCCTTTGTGTACCCTGTTTCCATTATTTAATATAAACATTTCGTTATCAAAGCTTCTCCCAAGCATAATAATGCCCTAATGTTTTTATATTCTGAAAAATGTCTTAAGATATCTCTAAAACGCAGATTTACAGACATTTTTTTAGTGATTATAGCCAATGATTTCCAGCCTTTTCTCAACTCAAGGACATCCTTCCCACCAAGGGTACTAAATGTTGCTTATTCCATGAAAAATGTTGGGGAACAGTGCTGCTTAGTATTCGCAGCATGTTGCTGGTGCATACAAACTATGTTTCCAACGGTATATTTCTAATGTTGGGTTGGATTCATTGTTGCGGGCGAAAATTCCCATGTTGTGAGAAACATGCGTATGGGTGTTTTGATATCGTATATTATTGAATATACCTTATGAAATTTAATAGCCGGATTAGGATTAGGTCAGCAGATCCTCTCTTCTCTCTCCTCATTTTTGGGGCTCAATATAAGCACAGAAACCCCACAGAAAAATACCAAAAATACACACTACCAAAAAAACAATATGTAAATGTATGTAATATGTAGAGACACATGTAGGTTAACTGATTTTGTCGAACATTTTTTAAAAATAGCGCGCTCTAGAGAACAGAAGATAAATTCTATTTTTTTCCTGAAAATTGTACAAAAGGAACATAAGTAAATATTAGAATTGGCTCTGAGTGGTTTGGGGGACAGTTCTTCTATCTTTACAACATAATTGGGTTTAGACTCAGGCTTAAAAATTGAAATTACACCTTTCTTTCGCTAAGGAACACCGGATAATAATGACAAAATCATCATTACCGTCTAACTAATCACCTAATCTTTGATTTTATTTATTTATTTAGTAAATTATTAAGAGATAACCTGTCGATTAAAGATTAATCTGAAGAGGAAAACCTTGTTTGCCATTAACTGTTTTTTGCTATTTAAACTTGAACATTTTTTTTATATAAGTTGATATTCTGACCCATTTGAATTTTAACGCATATTTCTTTGTTAACCGAACAGAGGTTGCTTGTTAGTATTTTTTTAACCTAGCCAAATCAACTGAATTAAGTGCATTTTTGTTTCTTTGGTATTTTTTAATTCACTGAGCTACATTGGATGAGCACCTGAATAGTTTTAAATTCTCCAGACAAATACCAAAATAATAAGTTCACATTTCCCAAAAAAACAGCTAAAATTCACCCTACCATGTTACAATGTTGCTACAATTCGTGTTTATATGCATTCCAACTGTACGGAACAGTTTCAGCAACATGCTGCTGTAATACCTAATACCTAAATAGTATATTTTTGTTTTCTAAACTATAGGCACCCGATATTTTAAAAGCAAAACACATCTGAGTTAACATAATGTTAAGGGCATAACAGAGTGTGAGGGGGTGGTGCTGGGAGATGTAAATTGTTTGTAAAACGGCCTTGCCTTTTCGTCCAGGAAAAAGTTTATCACTCTAATACTCGCATATCGAAGTATGTTTTAAGCTGAGACACAAGCAATCCACAATGCGACGCTCCATAAGCGAAACCGAACATTCCGAATCGGATTTGTCCTCCGGCGCCACAACGGAGAGCAATTCCAGCGACTGCGAGCAGGAGGAGGATAGACACCACAGCAGCAGAACTACCCTCCTCGACCCCAGCGCCAGGCGAGACAATGTCATGTTGCCCAGGTGAGTCCAGCCTGCCTCTGCGCCAGGGTGCAAAGTTCCCAATGGAGTGTGGATTTATGACGCTAGTTAATCTTATCTTATCGTACAATCGCCCCGACAGACCCTGGGCGTCGAGTGGCGGCTGGATGTGCTTCCTGGTTCCTCTGGCCTTGGCGTCGCGCTTTCTGAATGCTCCACCCTGCAAGGAGCAGGTGCACCTCCACCTGATGCTGACGGTGACCGCCGCTGGGATGTGCGTGGAGACACTGTGCTTCTTCGTGTACTTCTTCGCGGACACGAGCATACTGGCCAAGTGCATCATCAGCCTGCTGCCGGGAACATTCACAACGCTCGGCTTTGGCCTCTGCCTGGGCACCTCCTGGCTGTTTGCCGTCGTCGCGGGCTTCCTAATGATGGCTGGCTACCAGCACTTTTACGTCTGCATGATGCGTGGCTTCTCGCGCTGCTTCACCTATGGCGAGGCTTCCATTCTGTTCCAAGGTCTGATGCTGTTCGTGGTGAGCGTTATTTATCGCCTCTACGACCTGTGCTCCACGGATGCCAAGACCCTTGGTGACTTTGACCGACTCAATCTGATAATGCTGGTGGGTCTGTCTGGTTAACCATTTTTCCTCATCTTAGTCCCCCCTCTTCTAATCAGACCCGACTCTTTCCCAGAATGCTTTGACGTGGCTGCTGATTCTCTGCCTGCTGGTGATCATGGTGCCACGGATGCGTGGGCCTATTCCCTTCTACCTGTTGCTGGGACTCCTCATAGTGGCAGTCACCTGTGCTCCCGTCTGCAGTCCCCTGCCTATTGTGGCTCTGCTTCAGTTCATTTTCAGGGACCCCAAGCGACTGCAGATCATCGGCTTCTACCTGGTGCTCGTTGTCCTCACCGGAGCCACCGTTACCTGGCAGCTGCGTCACTCTGTTCAAGCCAACACCCGGGTCCGCAAGATATTCCACCTGTTGATCGTGCTCGTCTTTGTCCCGGGAGTGCTCTTCCAGTGCGCTCTGCTCTACTTGGCCACGGGCATAGCCCTGGCGGCCTTTGTGGTCCTGGAGCTGGTGCGCCTGCTGGAGATTCCTCCATTTTCCGAAAGGCTGACTGAAGCATTCCACTCGTTTCGGGATGAAAAAGACGCTGGGGCTCTGGCGCTGACCCCGTTCTGCCTGCTGATTGGATGCTCCATGCCCCTCTGGCTGACTCCATGCCCCTGCTCCGGAAACGATACTCTGCTCCTGCTCTCGGGCATCCTGGCGGTGGGCGTGGGCGACACCGCGGCCAGTGTGGTGGGCTCCAAGCTGGGACGCAACATGTGGGGAAGTGAGTATGTCGTGTGTGGCAGTAGAGGAAGATTCTCATTGCTCGTTTCGCTCTCTTGCAGATTCCTCACGCTCCCTGGAGGGCACCATCGCCTTCGTGGTGTCCATCCTGCTGTCCGTCTGGCTGCTGGAGGCGACTGGTCTGCTGGCCATGACCCAGGCCAAGTGGTTCGCCACCATTTTCGCGGCCATCAACTCGGCCTTGGTGGAGGCCTTCACCGATCAGGTGGACAATCTGGTGCTGCCTCTAGTCTTCTACATACTCGTTGGCCTGGCCTGATTCGATCTGTGGCCCTGTGACTGCATTCATTCCTCCCCCCCAAGGGCGAATCCAATAAATACTCTTCGGTGTCTATTAGCAATAATATTGTAGAATTTATGTCTGAATTCAGAACATTTCATTGATGTAATATACGTACATACATAACACCCACATTGGGGGCTCTACTTTTACTTGTGGTTCTTAAGATCTATAACAAATGATGTATCAATTTGATGTTGCTGTACAAAATTTTGAAATTGTATAATGTATTCCTGAACTTGTTGTATCACATTTCGGATGGGGACTGACCTCCCCCGAGAATCGTTAAACTTTTAGGGACTTTTAGCGCTATCTACAGCGCACGTTCTACACTTGACTTACTAGCTACAAACATTAAGGTATTCATTCTTTTTCTGCTGCAGGAAGACTGCTTCCACCTGGACTGGAAAATGAACGACATGCTGGACTGCATTTAAAGGAACATTATGACAAGAACAGAACACTGGTTGCGGCCATCCAATGGGTACGAACTCCACCCGACCACGTCTGGGAGCTCTGTCCATCGCATCCATCGGTGGCCATGCCTTAAAGCGGCTCCTGCGTGAAGTACTCGTGCTCCAGGCAAACCAATGCCGATGGCCGCATGCCTATGTCGAATGACAGCATTTGCTGGAAGGAGAAGGACACAGATTAGTCGATGCATCGACAAAGAGGGAGATATCCAACACACAAACGTACATTCAACAGGTCGTCGGAGTACTCGCAGAGGTTGGGACAAAAGTCTCGTGGCCGTTTGGGAGGGCGGTGTGGGAAATGCTCCCGTGCCACAGAGATGGTTTTGGGCCACTGCTGATCTGTGGGTCGTCCCGTCAGCCTACAGATGAGAGTTTTAGCTACAAACTAGACATTTATATGGATTTTGCACCCACTCGAATATGCGGTCCAACTGGTTCTTCTCCGATGTGCCCGGGAACAGAGCCTTCCGGTTGAACATCTCAAAGATGATGCAGGCGGCACTCCAGAGGTCCACGGAACTGTTGTAGGGCTGGGCAAGCAGTACCTCGGGAGCGCGGTACCACAGCGTAACCACCACCGATGTCAGCTTCATCTCGGAGTCGTACGTCTTGGCCAGGCCAAAGTCGGCGATCTTTAGATGGCCCTGCGCGGAGACCAGAAGATTCTGTGGCTTCAGATCGCGGTGGATGATGCGATGAGAGTGCAGAAAGTCCACGCCGGTTAAGAGTTCACGCGACAGACGCTGCCATAGATAGGTTCGATTAGTTGCCTTTTGGAGGTATTCCGTGTACTCACCTGGATTGTGGTGGGGCACATGCCCGATTTTGGCAGACGTTCGATGAGGTCGGACAAATCCTGCTCCAGGTGCTCAAACACCAGTAGAATCATCAGTTGACCGTCTCGCTCCAGAAACTGGCATACTTCGAACAGTCTGCAAGAAGAGGGGAAATCAGAAATGCTTTATACGTGCGGATGTGTGTGCATGCTGAGAGGGCGAGAGAGTATTTTGCTATATATCTGCGAGACAGATCTTAGACCGACGCTGTCTAAAGCGCCAGTAGCCATACTGTGGGCAATTCTTGAACTACGAAAATCTCACTCCACACAGACCCAAGCCCAGTTCTACGATATTGCGATCAAGCAGAGAGAGAGAGAGACACGCACAGAGAGAATGAGTGAACACCTTACGCTTACGGCGCTTAAGAGCGACATCTAACATTATGTTAGACAACAGCTTTTGTCTCTTTTTTTTGCCGTTTATATATTTTTATAAAGAAAACTACTTTTTTCTACGATTAGCACACATTTCAAGATTTTTTGAGAAGTTTCACGAGAAATGAACTAAAATTCTTCAACAAAAGCTATTTTGTCAATCTGTGCCTTGTCTGGCATTTATTTCCTATTTTGCAGGTTGCTCATACCAAACAACACGTTTGATATCAAACAACAGAAACCCCAAAACAACTTGTTTGAGTGTTCTCCCTCTCTGGATCGTTTTACCGTATATGAGTGAATGTATGTATATATAATAATACATATGTGTATACTTATGGTAAGTGTGTATTATACGATAGCCGTTGAGTGCGAGAGAGTAGTCTGCTCACTGCTCTGGTTCTACGACAGCGTACGTTATCAACAGAAGAGAGTCGAGCCGTAACAGTCGGCGCCACACTGTTTGACACTGACAGACAACAGACAGGCAGAAATACTGGGAGACGGGAGGGGAACAACATTGTTATGACTTGGCTCTCTCTCTGTCTCTCTCTTAGTGTGTGCCCCCGCCATTTCCTTCCCCCTTACACCACCCACACATTGCATGCATGCAGCAAGCGAGACGAGTCCCATGGCTGCTACCTGCATGGAGGCAAAGTGCTAGATAAACAGTGAACGACACGAACCGCCCACCGCACACAATCCGCGCTGACATTGTCGTTGGCCGTAATCAGCTGCTCCGGCTCGCCACTGCGAATATTAGTTGACAAATATGTAGTTGGGGCGCCACCCGGCCGGCCCCATTCCCAATGGCTGTGATAACGGTCGTCATACCATACTCACTTGACAATGTTGGCGTGATCGCTGGCATTGAGCTGCTTCAGCAAAGAGATCTCCCGCAGCGTGGACATTGGGACTCCGTTCTCATTGAGGGCGATGCGGACCTTTTTTAGGGCCACAATGTTGCCCGTAACTGTGTCCCGAGCCCTGTAGACCGTCCCGTAGGCGCCTGTAAGAGTGAAATTCGCAAATTGAGAACAGGGTGCATACATTCAAATGGAAATGTTAAATGTTAATCAAACAAAAGCAAATGCAAAAACAAAAAACAAACGCAACGCCAAGGCCAGATAAGAACAAGTGAAATTACCGAATTTCGCATGGTTGGGGGAGAGGAGAGAGAGAGAAAGAGAGAGTAGTCAGCTGTGTTGATAGCAAATGTAGAAAAAACCCACCAACACGACCCATTTCGATTGCTTTTCGAGGTTGGAAGATGACGAAAGCAGGTAGCAGAGATAGCAGCAAAGAGAAAGAGCGATTCTATATCGATTCCAAATGCTAAGGAAAATACACGATTTTGTCACACAGACAGAGGCATGGCATGCGTGGGACAAGCCAGAAGCTATTTTCGTTGACATATCCAGACGAGACATATTCCGCAAAAACAGCCAGAGGAAAGGTATATGTACAGAGAGAGAGAGAGAGAGAGAGGGGATAAGAGAGTGTGCCTGTGCACACCGAGCTGTTTAAGGAATCAAGCGCAAAGCGTATTACGCTAGGTGAGATCGACCCACAATAGCGGCCATACGCTTCACCCCATTTAAATACACCTTGGGCCAAGCACCAAGGCCAAGCCAAGCTCCAAACAACAGTTCATTCTCGACTTCGCATTCAGCTTTGACTATTCGACGACTCGTTTTCGGCTTCTTTCTTGATTTTGCCGAAAAAAAGCAACATTTTGCACAAATCAAAACAACAACAACTAAACGGAAAGGTTGGAGAGCGAGAGCGAATATGAAGAAGAGGAGCAATAATTGAATGAATGCGAAAAAGCTGTACATGTACAACAAATGTATCGACATGTGTGTGCAGCGGTCGTGAACATAAGAGATGAAATTAAATTTTGTAGGTCTTACAATGTTAAAACCTAAGGTTGTGGGCCACCAATGGCGGAGGGGTTTCCGAATGAGCAACAGTTTTCTTTTAAGCTCCGCTTCCACCTGCTTACGCGTACGCTGCCCACCGCCAGCCCCATTCCGGCCAGCTCCAATGCGTTTCGCCCCTGACCAAAAGGCCTACAGACAACAAAACCAGTAACGAAATTCATCATTAACATTCACAAAGCTTCACTCCCGGCTCGGTGACGTAATTTATTTAAGTTTATCTACCGAAACAGTTCGGAAATTATCCCCAAAATACGTGTGGCAGCCTCTTGACCGAGCATCGAACTGGGATTCAAGAGATCGGCACCTATTTACGGACCAGGAACCACGTGGCCCCTGTAAATGAACCTGAAAAGTATGCAAGGAAATGAGAGAGAGAGGGCACTAATAATTCTCAATAGGTTAAGTTCCACGAGGCTCCAGACTCTAGGTATAACTATTTCCCCTGTGCAGCGAATTAGTCACGGTTCGCAGATCGCAAGATCGATTTTTATGGGGAAAATACTTCGGAGCACCCTACCACACTTACCTAGTATGGCCTTCAAAAACAATGTTAACAGCATTAACTACCCATCAACTAGATTCGTTCTTCGAATCCAACCCGACCTATCCCAACGATCGCAACGGCAGACGAAATGGGCTTTGCGTACATACCTGTTCCAATGATGTTGAGCTCTTCGTAGTTGAACGGGTCCCCGTCGCCAAAGTTTTTTCCGTGGGACATCTTCTGGCGCTTGTGTTGAGGCGATTGTGACATGTGTATGTGCTTGTTTTTGATTTGGCTTCTTGGTTGGGATATTACAATTACGTGGGTTTGCGGGGGGACACGAACTTTCACCGACACATAAAGGGCTGGACATGAGACTGCACTATTGAGAAAAACATCCATTTATTAAATGTAGACACTTGCTCGAACGCCTCCTTGGTATCCGCGAGAAGTGGTGTAGTGTGACCGTTTATCAAGGCGAAATAGTGTGGGGCAGCGAGAGAGCCAAAGACAGAGAGCCTACTGCACTGATAGCCTAACCAAACTTGCGATAAAGCTACGTGTGACAGGTGTTAATAGGCCCGAAATACTCCGCCTCTATATTTATTCTATGAACAGACGCCTCCGCTCTGGTGCTGCTGAGGTCATTGAACCTCGGTGGGGTTCTGTGCCAGCTAATGTTAATGTTTTCCGTTTTATTGCTTATATTTTATGCTCAGGCGATCGAGCGAGAGCGGCTTTACTTAGCTTTAGTTATGATTTATTCATGTTACTGTTGCTTGTGCTTGCTCGCTCCTCCACTTCTTTGTTGTGACTTTCTTTGGCTTCCCTCCTCGTCCGTCTCTCTCTCTCTTTCTGATTCGTCTCTCTTTTGCATCCTGTTACTTTTACTCTCAAAGTCAGTGAAAGAACGACAGAGAGAGAAAGAGAGCAAACAAGTTAATGTTGCTGTTGTTGCTTTCGTACAGAAATAGAGAACCAAACCGACATTTTTTTCCATTTGTCAATTAATTCTAATCGCGAGACGGTAAAAAGCAACAATAACACAAAAACAAACACAACAAAAGCAACAAAACAGAAGCAAAGAGGAAGAGTAAAGCAGAAGCTAAGAGCACCAACACTGCCAACGACGTCTGACTGCTCATGTACTCTAATTTATGCGCATGTATGGATGGAATGGATTAAGGAATCTTGAAAGCAAGAAATTGCTAAACAGTTAATTTTGGAGCTCCACTGATAATACACCCCGCACACGAACACACGCACAAATACGGACTTTCTTCCTGCGGCTCCCGCATCATGTGTTGGATTTTTTTTTGGCTATTCCGGTGCTAACAATTTTTGGCCGGCTTCGCGTTAAACATACAGAGTATTTCAATGTCAATGTCGTGTTATACACATCTGAGTTTGTGTGTGTGCATGAAATTAGTTAAATATTAAAATAAATGTGTTTTTATTTGTCAAGAGACCAACTCGACTCACACTCACACACACGCGTCCGATCGCACTCTAAAACAGACGTGATCTCTACACACAGGCGCACACATATAAATGAATAAAAAAAATGTTGTCGAACAAAGTTTTTTGGAAATTACTTTTTTAATCAGCAAGCAACCGAGCGGCGATCATAGCACAGCACACACCGACGCGGGCCTAGGTTGGGGCCATGCAGCAGTTTAATTAAGTTTCTTAAAACATAGATTTAACAATTTAACAATATTTGTAAGATCACTGCGAGGAAGCCGAATAGAGTCGAGTCGTTTGGTTGCAGTCTTTTGACTCACGCCAGCAAATGGGCACTCAAAGCACCCCGTTTACGATATTGCTAACATGGCTTTCTCTTGAGTGCTTTGCGCAACAGCACTGTTAAAAGAGAGCCGTAAAAGCGTGCTCTTTGCAATTGCGGCGAAAAAAAGCGCCTTGCCACGCACAGCTGCGAAAGACAGTTTCAGGTTACAGTTGCACGAATTTGGATGCTCCAAGACTCCTAGGCTAGGGACTGACTTTTTCCTTTGGCGGCAAGCGAAAGTTCGCTCGCAGTGAACTGATTTTGAACTTGTAACGGACAGTAAAGTTAAGTTTAACAGAGACTCCAAAACGCCATCTATCGTCACATAGTGAAAGGTTCGACCCGCCATCTGGCGTTTTGTTGCAGATCGATTTATTTTTTGCAAAAACAGGTTGGCAGCCCGGGCCAGGGATGCAAAGAAGGGTCCACACTAAGTGGAGACTTCATTCTGTTTGGCGCTAAATTTGAAATGGTAAAACAGGCCAGGGTAGAGCTCATCATCATTGCCAACGATAAGCTTATCGGCAACTCATCTACCCATATGCCACCATTTGATTATATCAGATACAGTCCCACGTTGGCTGATTACCATTACAACATTTTATTGATTTGCACTGTATTCGGTTGCGGATATTTCTGATACACAAAAAGCTCGCCATTTTAGATAAAATTGTAAAACGCATTGCTGCCTGAACTGTGGGAGTGCATGAAACGTTTTCAACGCTTTCATATAAACCATTCCAAATCCAAAGTTCGAATTTATAATTGGACATTAAACTAGAAATTTTGATTCTCATATACAACATTATTCAGGGGGGCTGTCAAAAATATATATATATATACATTAAAATATACAGGATAAAGCTTTTGTTGTCCGCGGCTGTTGTGTTATCCCAATCTCAATGGCGCTGTAGATTCGGTTTCGAGCTCCCTCCCAGCTTGGGAAAGTTCTGTGACAATGCATGCGCCTGCTGATGGATATCCAAGTCGGCAGACAAAAGGACCTGCTTGCAGACAGCGCACACTTCTAAGCTGGGCAGGGATTTGCGCTGGGCGGTTGATATTTTGCTCAGATTTTGCTTGTACACCAGATAGAGCTCCTGGAACGAGAGAACGAGGGGTTGATGGGGGAGGAATTCATTAATTCAACTAGGTGGTCGGTGGTCACCTGTTGCTTGTTTATGTCGGGCAGCATCACGAGTAGTTCCGGAAATAGGCCATGAAATGCCTCTAGCATGGCGCATTGGCAGTGCTCATAGTACGCTTGACCATTGCAGGAGCCATCCCGAAACTTGAAGGACAACGATCTAAATTCGTTCAATGCCTCCGGCGTCTTGAGTATCTCTCTGAACTTGTCCACCAAATTCTAAAGACAGTTAAGAAGTAAAATGTAGATTAGGATTTGTTCTCTTATCACAAAATGATCTGTTTACCTGATTCCTGGCTGGGGTGTCTGGTGGATCGGTGTAGGAATATGTGCTAGGCACAATGTCATAGGACTCGCCCAGCGAACTGGTGAATGTCAGTTTGTTGGGTAACTTTGCCACCGAGTTAACTGTCACATTGGAGATAAATCCAGGCGGGGGCTTAAGTGGCCCAGCACCAGCACCAGCACCAGCACCAGGACCAGCTAGAGCAGGCGGAGTACGTGCCGGAGTTGATGCATTCCCATTGAGGGGTGGCTTTTGCTCGTTGTTATTGTTATTGTTCTTCTCTTTCGGCTTTGGTTGACCCACCTTTGGTTGGTTCTCCTGATTGCTCTTCTTTTCCTTTGGCTTTTTATCCTTTTTACTTGCCTGCGGCTCTTGGTTATTGTTGCTGGCCTTCGGCACACTCTTGGGTGTCGGCAGCATTGGTGGAGGCGCCACCTTCGCTTTGCGGTTCTCCAGCTCTCGCTGTTTCTTCTCCGACGTGGGTTTGGACCAATTTAAGGCCGCCGATCCGTTGCTTGGCCTTGGTGCGGTTGCCCGGCTGGTGCTGGAACATGGCCCCAGGGTGGGAAACTCGGCTGATGTAAGCTTTGGTGCATTCTTCTTCATTGCCTCCGCACGTGCCTTAGCTTCGGACTCCTCCTTTTGCACCATTTGGAGCTTGTGATAGGTGCTCGGATTGGCCACCGACACGTAGTCATCCACCAGAAGGCGATGCTTGGCCGATACATTCGTCATGGGCACGGCAGAGGTGCTCGGCAGCATATCCTCTTCCAAGTTTCGCATGTTCTTTTTTCCTTTGCCCGCCGGCAGAGCGGGGAAATCGAACTGGGGTGTCGCTGGTTTCTTGCTCGCCGCTGGACGATTTGATACATGCAAAAGCATTTCGTTGTTGCTCGATTGCCCAGCCCGATTGCCACCAGAGGCAGCGCTCGCCGACTTCTTGAAGACAGCTGACACAGGATGTTGAGACTGAGCGGCTCTGGCAGCCAGACTGCTACCACCAGCAGCTACGGCACCTGAGTTGCCACCGCCAAGAGCTGGAAAGTTCTCTTTGGTCCGCGCCAGTCCAGAGCTTCCGCTAAGATTGCGCATTGACGGCGGCGGCGGCCTCACCAATGACACACTGGGACCAGCGGCAGCGCCACGCAGCGTTGGAAACTGCTCCTCGTTGCCGGCATCGATGCTGACAGCATGGCCGCCGCGCTGCTGCAAGCTCGACGACGCAAAATCATCCAAATAGTCGTTGTTTTCGTCATTCCTGAAATGTCGAAAACGTTTATGGATGATGGATGATAAAGTCAGCGACCCACTCACCTCGCTCTCATATTGGCAATGCCCTGCTCATTCTGTCCGGTGCGTCCTCGCGGGCCAAGCGTAATCTCGAGCTGTAGAGTGCGTGTCTGCTTGGCTTGTTGCTTGTTCAGCGTCTTGCTGTGCATGTTGGCCACATGGGCCTTGTACTCAATCTCATTGCGAAAAGCACCCACAAACTGCTCCGTGGCGCACTTGCCTTCCTCGCAGAGAAAGTGCTCCTGACGGAAATGGTCCGCCAGATCTGTGTAGTCGTTGTAGAACTCGTTGCAGCCATCGGCGTCGCAGAAGTGACAGAAGTAGTGCTCCCGTCGCAAGTGGCGGAACAGCTCATCCCTGTCCACGTATCGCTTCTTGCAGTACTCGCACAGCGGATGCCCGCGATGGGAGCGATTGTCTGGGTCGCCCTTGTTGTTATGCAAGCTCAGTTCGCTCTGGGTGTAGCAGCGTCGCTCGAAGGTGAATATCTTCAGAGTCTCCACGCACAGGTCGCAGTAATGCAAGTTGTGCTCACTTCGCACATGATTGCGAAGTCCTGCAAACGTCCGATATGGAGGCGCCTCGCATCTACGTGGGGCAAAGGCAAAGCTATAGAGTGGAAATTACCTCGAGCAACTCGATTACATACTTTGGGCACGGATGATCGAGCAGCTGAAAGAACTTTTGCTGAATTTCGGCTGTGCAGAAGCCAATGCGATACTTTTTGCTGTAGAAGTCCGAGCGGCTATTCGCCTCCAGCTCCCGATACGGCAGCTTCTCCAGCGTAAACAGAACCTTCATGGTTTATGGGGAAAAAAATGTTTATTTCAGGTTCTGAAGTTGCATGCAACACGCTATTACCTTGGACAGAACGTGGCGACAAATCGGACACTCGTTTTGCTGGCACAGCACCCGCATTCGAGTCGAGCACTCATAGCAAACGGGGTGGTCGCAATCTCCAATAGAATAAATGTCAAAGTTCTTGAAGCACACTACACAGGCGTTGTCGTCGTTGGTCGTGTCCAGTGCAATCTCTGCGTGCTTCACAACTGCAGCAGCAGCGTCACCAGCATTGTTGGTGCTGGCCCTTGGTCGCCGCTGATTGCCCCTGTTCGTGCCTCTCTGCTTAAAGTTGTGCATTTTGTCGGCCAGAGGGGGAAAGTTACTTGTTGCCAAGGTCTTTGATTTGCGAGTCTAAAAACGCCTCAGATGTGTTGTATGGACTGTCAACTTGGGTTCTTCCAGATGTTGACAGCGTATTAAGCTTGCGTTCGGGTATGCAGCACCAAAATAAACCTTTAAACCGAGTTTTATTTAATAATTTTCCCCAACACGAGGAAACACGACGACAATTTTTTAATATTTTTTTGGTATTTTTTTTTTTTTTGTATTTAATCGAATACGATTGCATGGCTGATTCCGATTGACTGTTCAAACTTAACACACTGAATGCCCGCTTTTAAATAGGTAAGCACTTTGTGCAAATTGGCAAAATAAGACTGTTTTTAAATGTTAATTGTAGCCGCCGAATTACAAATTACATTACAATTACAATTCGAATGGGCACCGTTTCATTTAGCTAAACTGCGTTAAAAATCTTTCAGTTTCATTAATTTCTTAGTTTGCACTTAAACACCTGGTCAAAACTGGTCAACAGAAGGTTAATCGGTCTAGGTCAATGACAATTTACTCGATTTTAATATTCTGTTTAATATTGCCATCCGACTTAGACTGTCAGCCGTGGAATTATAATTTTCTACGATTATATAGTACATTCGCCATAAGATTGGCCTACTCTTCATGACTTCTTTTATTGCATTGTTTACAAAAAACTAAATTTGACAATTTGTTATTGGTCACCCAGTAGTATGGTCGTTTGTGTACCCTGTTTCCATTATTTAATATAAACATTTCGTTTTCAAAGCTGCTCTTAAACAAAATAATGCTCTAATGTTTTTATATTATGCAAAATGTGTTAAGATATCTCTTAAACGCAGATTTACATTCATGTTTTTCATTGATTAGAGACAAAGATTTCCAGAATCTTCTTAATTCGACGACATCCTTCCCTCCAAGGGTACTTGCTTATTCTTATTCCTATTATATTGAATTTTTCAAATTATGGCCAGGGAAATTATGTTTCGCCGGAACTGAGATTCTACGTTTTTGAAGAATTGCCTTGCCTGGACAGGGCTTCGTAGGTGACATCGTATTGCAGAAGAAATATAAAAAAGTTTGCACAGGCCACCAGAAGCTGTAAATCAAAATTGAAAGCTAAAGATTTCACTGATTAAGATATAAGCTTACAGCCGAAAGGTATTTGAGATCCAGTACAATGACGCCGCAGACCACATGCTGTCGCACATTTGTTTGCAATTGAAGGATAAAGTGGTTAAGGGTCTCCAGAAGATCGGGATCCACACACTGCACGCGATTCAACAGGGCCAAGCAGTTGGATTGCTGCAAGGAGCACTTTTAGAGCAGTTCTAAATGGGAATTTGACTACTTACCTCCTGCTGCACTTTGTGGTTGAAGTAGAGAATGCTGTGCACCTTGCCCATATGCATGGCCAGCCACAACACCTGGTAGAGCCACCTGATCGAGTCCGTCATCTCCGGAACGTCAATGCCCTTGTACACAAGGAACAGATTCAGGTTAAAGTTGAAGAAGCAGCCAATCACCAGCAAGACAATGGAATATTGGTATGCTGTGTTCACCAGCTTGGTGAAGCGCGTCAATTCAGTGTGTTGCAAGCGAAGTTTGTGTACCTCCCACCGACGTGGGAACTGCTGGAGCTCCCGTTGCAGCGAGCCGGTGACGGCGGCCTGGCGCCAAGCGATGCCCTGCAACAGGACATAGTACTGGATAAAGGAGAGGCTGCTGATGATGTTGGGCATCACATAGCTGTTGATGCTCAGTACTGCCTTGAGGACAACAAATCTCTGGCTGCAAATATCAATGACAAACGCTGAGCAGGCCAACACCAAGACCAGCGACAGCTGTAGCCGCAAAAATCGTTTGATCTGCTGGCACTTAATCGTATATCCCCTCTCCAGATCCGACTTCACGATGCCATCAAGCACGGCGGGTATCCTGTGTCTCCATTGAAATGTAAGGACCAAGATTGAGCCAATGTGCACCACGTAGATGGCCGATTCCACCGCATTCAAATAGCAATCCAGGGAAACCTTTTTCAGGGTGTTGAGAACGAGTTCCCAATAGGAGGCCTGACAGAACCAGCCGTAGCACACAATCATCCAACAGATATGAAGATGACGGTAGACTCTGCCCTCGCGACCAGGCAGCACAGCAATGGGCGCGGTGTTGGCCAGCACAGAGATCCAAAGTAGCCAATGCAAGCCTTTGTAGAGCTGCTTGGAGTTCACATCATGTCCCTGCTGAAGCGCCGGATGACTGAAATGGTAAGTAAGGAAAATTAAATGCGGGTCTCAGTTTATCAATCTTATGTTTACCCTCTTGGCAAGGCTTTTGGACTGTTGCGAGGCACTTTCTTTGGCTTCCACATGTCAAATGCTTCGAGCACATTAAGGGCTCTTCCATGCTTCCTTCCAACTGCTTTGGCCTGTCACAGGGACATTAATCAATCCAGCCAAATAATGTTTCTTCACCTATTTCTTTATCATTAACGAAACTGCCGTGCAGATGAACAGTTCAAGTTGCAATCGCTGGGGAGCTCTCCTGCTGACCATCAGCCGTTGCCTGGCCGTGGCTCCCACGGCACGAAAGGGATTTGCTCGATGGATCCACTGTCTTTGGTGCGTAGTTCTGCTGGGCTACGTGTGGACTGGTTGCATCTGGCAGTGCGTTGTGTTTGACGCCGAAATGCCAACCATCGAGAAGCTGCTGTATCTGATGGAGTTCCCAGGCAACATAGCGATCACTGGCCTCCTGGGGTACCACGCTGTTCTCAATAGTCCCTACGCCAAGGAAGTGGAGACGCAGATTCATCGCCTGATCTGCGAGCAGGATGTGGGAGTGGCGCAGAGACTTTACCAGCAGCACGGGAAGAGAACTCGTCTCCTGCTCGTGCACACCATCGTATTTCACGGTGTCTGCGTTGTGGTGGATATTGTAAATTACAAATTCAACTGGTGGACCACATGGATCAGCAATAGTGTCTACAACTTGCCTGCTCTGATGGTCAGCCTCGGTGTGCTGCAATATGCCCTCGCCGTGCACTTTCTCTGGCTGCTGCAAGCTCATCTTTGCCACCGTCTGGCGGAGTTTCAAATGCGCCAAAGGCCACCACAAGGTATCGTTAATCTGGACGCTCGCTACGATCTGTTTTTTGCTGCCCTGGTGGATGCTGGCGGATGCTCTTCTCAGGTGCTGGAGGAGCTGCGCTCAACGTACACTGCCATAGATCGCCAGCACAGGCAGTTGCTGGACAAGTTTGGTCCCTTCCTGCTGCTCAACTTTGGAAACTCTCTCTGCAGCTTCTGCGTGGAGCTCTACATGGTCTTCAACTTCTTTGAGCAACCGCAATGGGCAGCAATGGGCATGTTACTGCTCTACCGCCTACTGTGGCTCGTCATGCACGGCGGACGCATCTGGATCATCCTGGCCGTCAACGAACAGCTGGTGGAGCAGGAGTGCCACTTGTGTCTTCAGCTCAACCAGCTGGAGGTGTGTGGCAGCCACCTCGAACGCACCATTAATCGTTTCCTGGTGCAGCTCCAAACGAGCATCGGACAACCGTTGCTGGCGTGCGGCGTCATCGATTTGGACACGCTGGCAATGGGTGGGGTAAGGAACCGACCGAATCAATTAACTCTTTAGTTGAAACAATTAACGGATTTTGATGTTTCTTGACAGTTTATCGGCGTGCTGATGGCCATTGTGATATTCCTAATTCAAATCGGACTTGGGAATAAATCACTAATGGGAGTTGCGCTCAATCAATCAAGCTGGATATATGTTTGAATAAAATGCCTCAACCATTTGGTAGGCTGCGCAGTTCTTTGCGTGGTGTCAGAGAACCCAGTGGCTGGAATGGAACTTGGTATCGATCAAAGTACTCGATAACGCTACTCTTTCGATATCAGCCAGAGCTGTCGCCGTTTTGTTTTTGAATTTAAAGAATAACTTTTGCTTTTATATCGAGTAATTACGCACTTGTCTAATTAATTGGTTTTTGATTTAGTGGAAACCACAATCATTGATATGTTATCATTAGTTACTCCCGCTCTTTTTGTCTGCTAATAAAATCACTTATCAGTTGTTTTGATAAGCATTCTATTGTTTTCAATTGGACAACTGGTGCAATGTGATCGTTTGGTAAATGAATGCCATTATCTTGAAGCGTTGTACAGACGCCACTTGCCATTCTGGAATTGAAACAGATACAAAAAGTATACACATACATATAAATAAGCTTGTCATATATTAATTTTCGGAACGAATTTTCATTACGCCAAACAGCGATAGAGATATGTTCAGACATACGATTGGAGGATGACTTCCAAGTAAATCGATCTGAGAGACAGACAGGGACAAGGAAGAGATAAAGCTAAAAGGAAATTAATTTCAAGCATCGCTGGAGTCTCATAAATTTCGCGCGATAAATGTCTGCAAATAAAGAATCTACTATATGCCCAAGAATTGTAAAATGCTTAAGCTGAGAGGCCCAGCGTGGGGTGGGAGAGATGAAGCAATTAAATGAAACGAATGAAATACTGTTGTACGATATGAGAGTCATATAAACAACATACATACATACACATGTACATATGCAACGTCAATTACCGACATTGACTTTGAAAAGTGCGCCTTGAGATCTCTGTTCTCAGATCTCGACTCTTGTCTGGACTCGAGTCTCGGGTTAAGTGGTGTCTCTTGGTGCATCAGATCAGCAGTAGAGTGACGGACCGGAAGCGTGTGCCCGGCTTGGACAGACTGTTGCATATCGCGTGGCACATTATCCTACCTAAAACGTGTCGCTACCTGTCGTCGCCATCGATTCAAAACTAATTAGCGGGCAAGCGACGGACATTTGCGAGATTTATGATACGGGCAGTTTGGCAACCGGACAGACAGATTGTCGAGACGGTGGCAGATGCAGATGAAGATCAGCATTTGTTTAATGGTTTCCCCGGCTATAATTAGAATCCGTTTTGGGGAAATTCGTCAATCTAGTCGCCGTTGTGGTCGCCTCAGGCCTCAGGCCTCAGGTCTCAGTCCTCAGCTGATAAGCCGATGCCGGATTGCTAGCAGTAATAATAAATTCGATTTTAATGGAAGCCTAAAAGTTCATTCAGCTTATCGGTTTCTGGGGCTCGACCTCTGGGTTCAAAATCCAATTAGTTGCGTTCCGGGAATCTGTCTAATGTGAATGTCACCAAAAAGAGAGGGACATACCACACATGTTACCGGGGGATGGAATGTAGTGGTGCAGATTTCAAATATGAACACAGCAATCAATGCCATATAAACTTGAGCAACCCCCAAAAAACGCCGAACAGTCAAGGCCATAAGGGGAGTTTTGAGTAAACAAAACGTACGTAAAAATATGTACAAAAAACGCCTGAGGGAACAAAACACTGCGCAAAAGTCAAAGAGGCTTTTTGTGCTATCGATCGCCATATGGAATACTGCAACCCCCCACGGAGAGAAACTTGCCAAATAAATTACTCTCGTGTAAGTAAATGGCGCATGCGCCCCTATAGACGCACCGCAACCGCAGCGCAATCACATCCTCACCCACCCAGGCAGAGAGAAAGAACACCAAGAAGGCGAGAGAGCGACGACTATGACGCGCTGTCTCCCTCTTTTCTTGCATGCACAGACCAGAGCGATCATGTCTTGCTTTGCCTTTGCCCACAGCCCTCATCGCTCAGATCCATTCGACTCGTCGACAGAAACAGTCGCGTCAACCGTTAAACACATCGGGAAAGAGCGCGTGCGTGCGTGTATGGACAAGAGTGAACCGTTTTTCGCGTTAGTTTACCCAAAAGCTTATAACTCTGTGCTGTGCTGTGCTGTGCTGTGGTGTTCTGTGACGAGGCTAAAAATAAGTGCAAACTGCTCAAATCAGAATTTAATTATTCTCTGTTCTTTTATCAGACGAGAACTGATAAAAAAAAGCCACATACCTACATAAGTACATACGAGGAAGTGGGAAGAACAGAGCACATTATCTCTACTGAATGTTCACAGGGCAAAACTTGTTTCGAGAAGCCTCTTGTGCAAATTGCCGATCAATTATATGTAAAGAAGGAAAACGGCAGCAAACAGCCAACAAAGAAAATAAACAAGTATCTACATAGTACATGGTACATACAAAATTAAATAAGAGTTCGCTTGTGGGGAAAAGTCTGTAAGGGCATCGCATCCCAGCCCAAGTGGTTTATCTTGATGTCAAAGCTTATCTGTGCCGGGAGAGTGCTGTGTGTTATGTGAGTGCGAGTGAGTCCACACAGGCAAATCTCTAGCTAATACAGCAGCCGAGTGGACTAGACAGACAGTCGCTCAGACCCAAGAGCGCGCTCCGCGATCAGATCGTTTAACTGAGATTCCATTCCCTGGCTGTCAGAAGTTACTCTTCCGCTTGATTAATTGTGCGTATCGCATCCATTATGACAGCTGAGACACTCAAACCGTTTATAACACCAACGAGTGCCGCCGGCAGTTTTCCGGCCAAGCAATCGAGCGCGGCGAAAGCCCAGGGCAAGACTCGACAGATCATCCCAATTGTCTTGAGTGTCGTGGGTCTGGCCCTGGTTGTGGCCATCCTCAGCCTAACGGTAAGTGTTAGCAGAAAAATTGATTTGATTGATGATTGGTTGAGTGTGCAAAGGTGTGAGCAATGCGCAATCAGCGAGAATTCCCCACTGATATGAGAATTTCGCAATTAATTTGTACTCCAAATAGTGTATTGAACGTATCATAAATGTGTCCACTTGATTGGCAATTTGAAGGGATGCCAATACTTTACGAGACGAGATACCACATTGAACCACTTTAAACCGGTTCACATTCCCACTCATTTCTAGAGGAATATTGTTTCAGTAGTCTGCCAGTATCTAACACAAAATAAATACACATATGTACATATATGCAAATTGAACTGCGATATACTGTGTACATATTTATTTAAAGTCACCTCTCCTCCCCCCAAAATCGTAATCTCAGAATGAATATTTAACCTCTGGCACGCTTCTACCTCCGAAGATGTTTGTCATTAAGTCTTTGTTTATGCCAAATGAATAAAATATATAAACAGAGTTTATAAGGCGAGACCGTCAGAGATATGAATTCACGGTTTGGGTCTGTTTAATTTGGCACCCGACTATATTTAGGTTCGTCGACGTCGTTGTCTGATCCGTGGCATGTCGTCGTCACCAACAAGTCTTTGGGCCAAGTCGCTTCCTAATGGTCCAACTAATCCAAACAAGCCGCAAGACATCACACAGCAGCGGATGCAAATTCTCGTATACATTTATCAGATACTTTTTGTTTGTTATTGTTGTACCGATTTAGTTGGGGATGATACTGCCCTGCCGCCTCTGTTCTGTTCTGTTCTGTTCTGCTCTGCATTTCGAGCTTGTTTTCACTCGATAAAATAAATCTCTGCTCTGTCATGACTTCATCTGCCATCTGCCATGGGGACTGGTTGGGTCATGTTTTTTCCTCTGATAGCTTGCTGCAGAATTGTTCTACAAAACTCGACAACAAAATTTGCAATTCTAAAGAAATACGAGACTTAGATTTAGAGTTATACAACCATGTGCTTGCTGCAGTTTTTAGTTACATACATTTGCATGTACATATGTACATACGAGTATGTATAGCGCCCATTCCAGACGGACTACTCCTTGACACACTCAATCTCAACTTTGGCTTAAGTGAACGGAAATCGTACAATTGTCAATTGACTTGTAAATGATTGGACTTGCCTTGGCTTCAGCTTGACGTGAGCCACCAACTATTGTTTTCTCCATAAATCTTTGTTAAGATTTTCCAATTCAATTTTGAGCCCCCTTCCCACATCCTGACTAGTGACCAGCGACCAGCGACCAGCGACTGACCCTCATCAGGGCTCCGTGAAAGTGAAAAACTGCAGGCGCTATAATCGATCTATAGATAAGCCCATAATGGAAAGTGGTTCACTGGAAACAGCAGCCCCCGGCCACGAGCCACAAGCTCGCCAGAAACAAGTTTCTTGGGCCGATGTACTGTCCATAATTTATACAAGAATTCAGTACAAGTTTTATTTTTATTTTTTTTTTTGTCCCTGTACGGTGTACAGTGGCTCAAGTTGAGCCACACATTTCGGTTGTCGCAGTCGAAATATGAATATTTGAGTATATGTGAATGTACTCGCATGTATTCTTCTGTGGCTGCTCGCCCCGAATGTTAATGATCCATTAAAAAGATTATGTGCCTGAGTGGCGATGTCGGTACCGTCGACGTTTCTTTATGAAATCTCTCTCTCTCCCCGGCCTGTCTCCTCTCTCTCCCTCTCTCTTTGTCCGCCTGTCCATCTGTCTGTTTTTTCAGTTACATTTTTTCTTTCGTTTGTTTTTGTGGGTGTCAAAAGTTCGGCTGTTGGGTGTTATATGATGTGTGGGGCTGAAGCACCGTCTATCGACCATAATTGAAGCGTATTAAATTAATTGCGAAAGTGCTAGAGATAACACCAAAGTGTTTAATAGTTTTCGATTAGATCAGTCGCCTCCTAATAATATGTTGTTTATATGTAAAACTATTCAGATCTGGCAGTCATCGCGTGTCACGCATCTGGACAAGGAGCTGCAGAGTCTTAAGCGGGTCGTCAGCAGTCTTCAGCAGCGTTTGGGCATACAATATCTGGACGAGCTTGACGATTTCCAAAAGGAGGTGAGTCAATAAACAAACTATAACTTACTTATTCGTGTAGCGTTTGCAGCTGATTGAGAGAGAAGTCGTAACATTTGTCTGTGGTAAATACAAAGTCAAACAATTGTGGGCCTGATAGCGTTCAGAATATTATTGTTTTTTGTGTGAACCATTACCCTGTATGTAAATGGTACATTGGACTAGCAAAACAGTGTGCTTGGTTGGTCTTCACAGCTCTGAGCATGGGATAGCCTGGCCAGCGTAGGGTGCCACTGAGTCGAGTGAGTTCTCCCCACATTTGTTTCTTCTCGTTCGAAAATATGCCTTCGATGTGTATATGTATGTGGAAATAGTGTGCCACACACATATTTATAGAAATATCTGCTAAAATTAAAATATATTCTCAAAGAATTTTCATCTTTTTACGTTCTACAAGCGCAAAAACAAAAAGCCGCAAACAAATAGTGATAGATTATGATAATATGTATAATGAGAACAGAAAGAACACTCAATTAACTATGAGATACATTCGGTGAAGACGAAGCGCCAGCCGGTCACAGTAAATTTATGGCCCACAAAGCCACCCAGTGACATGGGGCAAGAGCCCAAATAATTCTCTGTTCCATCCATCGGGTGGCACATATACAATATATTTGTATATAATATTTTATATGTAGATGGATGCGCATCCGTATCCGTTCAAGGCAAGAGTTTGCTGTTGGGTGTATGCGTTTGCAGCCAAAAGTGACGATTGATCTGATCTCATCAAATGGCCTAATGGCCAGAGATCGTTTTAAGATTTATTTATATTTTTGTGTCTGCGGAAATTGGGACTGGGGCTGGGCATCTGTGCACGCAATTCTCTAGAGTGTTTTTTTTTCCGTTTTTTTTTTGGCGCGAGGCGCCATCAATTAGAAATGATGATGAAACAGCATTTGGCTTTGGGTCATGCGTCGCGTATATAAATGAACTCCCAAATGAATTTAAGATATGAGCAGGACCTGCGGGCTAGCTGCAGTCACGTACTCGTACTTGGCCAAGTCTCGTAATTCTGACCTCAAATGTGGATCCACTCCTTTTGCAGTACGAGAATGCGCTCATTGAATTTCCCAACAAGCTGGATGGCATCCCCGATGATGATGACGACGACGGCGACGGCGACGGTGATGAGGACATAGACGCAGATGCAGACGAAGACGATGAGGTGGACGGCTTCCCCGACTTCGACCCAGACGAAACCAGCAGCCTCTATGACGAGTACGATGAACCGGACGACACCACGCCAGCGCCTGATGTGGAGGAACCGGATGGCAACACCAGCGCCTCATCTGCCTCGAACGACGACAATGTCTACGAAGACTTTACCAATTACAACGACTCCAAAAAGAAGAAGCATGGGTAAGCAAGACTCACAAATACTTTGAATTTGAATCACTTCATTGATCGATGTGTCCGACAGGAGGAAGTCTCGCTCGATTGCTGAAGCCGATGTGCGCAATGAGCTGCAGACAACACAGGCCAACCAAACGGAGCAGACCGAGGCCAAGGAGAGGTAAGTGCCCAGCACCTAGAGACTAACGAGTTCACATTCAATCAGACATTTTTCCAGCACACCATCAGTGCAGCATCATCATCGCCGCAAGCTGCGGCCCCGCACCAGTCGCCAGAGGGTTCTGGTCCGGAAAGGTGCGTAACCGCAAAATCAATTGGCATTGAACTAATTCCAAAAGGAAACCCAAAACTCTATTTGATTTGTGTCTCTGTTAACTTGCAGGTGAATCTCTTATTTCAGCCAAATCCACAACCAATTCCGGCTCCCGCACCCCAGCCGCTCACTTCCATCTGAATCGCAAGGTGCCGCACCACAATGCCCCCATTCAACTGAGTTGTAAGTAGCACACCCACATTCCTACCACATTCACATTCAAGGAGCTCTGATGCTAATCTCTGATTTTCCGCAGCGCACCAGGGTGACATGTACATTGGGCATGCCACAGCGGGCAGCGACACCGCGTGGCAGGAGTACTTCAGTGTCAGCAACGGAGTACTGACGGCGCATCAGCCGGGACTGTATTACGTGTATGCCCAGATCTGCTACAACAACACGCACGATCAGAACGGGTTCATTGTGTTCCATGGCCACAACGCCTTCCTTCAGTGCCTGAACACGGTGCCCACGAACATGCCCCAGAAGGTTCACACGTGCCACACCAGCGGCCTGATCCAACTGCGCGAACAGGAGTCGATCCACCTGCGTGACATTCATCGCGATCGCAACGTGCTGCTGAGGGACTCCAACAATCGTAGCTACTTTGGCATCATCAAAGTGTAGGCTGGAGAACGAAGAACAAGCCGCCTCGTGGCCGGTTTAAGCTTTCGTAGTTCTGTCTCTACGGCAGACTGCTCGTGAATACGATCCATCGCCTGCATGGATCCCTTAGTTTGTAGCCCTTCTTAGCCTTAGTTACACTCATAATCTGCCCATAATCTCAAGCCGAGTCATGCACAATGAACGGAGAAAGCAATCATATTTATTTTGTAAATATAAACCTCTACGATACCATAAAAAAAGGTGAATAAAAATATAGTTGAACTTGTAAACTTTGATTTCCACATGAACACAGCACAGATTATGCCTTAAAAGATTGATTGATATCTTTGTGGTTGCCGTTGTGTACCTTTTGCATTGCTTCTTTCAATTACTTGAAATCTGCATTTCTGCCTTTGTGCAAAACTGAAGCCGCACGTACCAAAGGGGCGGTGGTGTTGGCTGTAGGTCCTGTCCCGGGCCCGGGCAGGTTATTCATAACCATGGCAACGGCCAGGTCCAGTGCACTCCCACCATTTTCGCTATATTCGGTCAGCAGCCCCATCGATGCCAATGTACACGCATTGGACATATCGGACCATAAATGGATGGTACAGTTGGACAAGGAGCAACAGCAATGCGACTTGACGTCAAACAGATTGTCGATGCGCCGCAGTGCCAAGCGGAGCGGAGATTCATCTATGTACGAGTACATCGAAATCAGTACAGTGCAAGGCACAAGTACATGCATAGCTCTCACATATGTACATAGTACTTATTACATGTGCAGGTAGGTAGGTACATTCAATAACTTCCGAAGAGATCATCGGGAATAATTGTTAAAGCGAATGCATTCCGCAAGCTGAGGGGTCGCGTCCGAGTAACAGGTGGTGGAGATGATGGCGATGGCGGTAGCTGTAACTCGCGTGGGAGAGCAACAGTTCGCCACCCCAGATATACATATGTTCAGCACATAAGCTTGTACATATCCGAAAACCCCACGCTCCATTCAAATGGAACGGACATGCGCACTGTTCCCAGGCATCGGCCAAAAATCTGGCAGGAAGCTTTTCCTATCCTTCGGATGGCGGCTGCAATTTGGAAGTGATTGCATCAGGTTGTAGCTGCATTTACCAGAGTGAGGTTGTGTTTTCGGAACAAATCAGTTCAGTGTAGTGCAGTTCTGTGCAGTGAAGTGTTTGTGGCTCGGTCTGGCTGCTGAGCTTGCAGGCAGAGTACACTGGATGGATGGTAAGTGTTGCAGCTGCAGCTATTTATAGCGTACCTCGACCTTGATTTCAGGAGCTGCCCGGGAAACTCAACACGAACACCAACAACAACAACAGGTGGTAGATATTGCAACCCACTCATGAGCCGAAAAATGTGTATCTACCTTAGGCGAGAATATCGGAAAACCTTCTTAAAGAAATTACGCACTTACCTAGAAGTTTTCTTGTGCATGGGAACAAAACTTTGAAAAGACACGGCTTTGGTCAATAAGTTGATTGGGAGGCTCTTCATAATTCAAACATATTATTTGATGTTTTATCTGTCATGAAACATTCGACTTGTGGAGAATTTTTCATGATTATATCTATGGCCGGAGCGAACAGCCTCATTTATGAATGTGATTATTGTGTTAATAAATATGAATGATGTATACTAATCATCTAGAGTATAGGATAATAAAGTGTTAATAGAAATAGGGGCTAATAAATAAATATGTTCTTAATAAAGTCCCCAAAGTTCCCTTGTTCCCACGCACACTGAGAATTAATAGCGTTGATTTTTGCCACACCAGAATGGCCACTTTTTTTGTATTAACATAAATGGGGTTTTCAAGTGTATATCTCAACGAAATCATTGAGATGCTGCCTCTAATCCTTCTTGCCGCCAGCGATCAGTCCCTGAATCTCGTTCAGAGTCTTGCCCTTCGTCTCGGGCACCAGGAACAGAACGAAGACGATGGCACCAAAGGAGACGGCAGCAAATATCCAAAAGCACGCAGCAGCACCCCATTCGTCCTTGAGCAGAGGAAAGGCCAGAGTCACTAGAAAAGCGCACATCCAGTTGGTTGTGCCAGCAATGGCTCCGGCCACAGGCTTGACATCCTCGGTGAACAGTTCGGCCATCAGCAGCCAGGGAACGGGACCAAATCCAAATGAGAATCCACTGATGAAGACGCAAATAGCAAGCACCGGCAGCCAGCCGACATCTTTCAGTGTCAGCCACTGGAAATAAATGGCCATAAGCATTGTAGTTATGAACATTAGAGCCGCTGAGATGAGCAACAGAATCTTGCGGCCCACTCGGTCGATCAGTGCGATGGAGATGATGGTGGCAATAACCATAACCAACCCGATGATAATGGTTGAGGTTGAGGCCGAAAAACCAGTGCCGGCAGATGTGAATATCCCAGTGGAGTAGAAGATGATTGCATTGATCCCAGTCACCTGCTGAAACACCATCAGCATCATTGAGATGGCCAGACTCTTGAGAGTGTTCCGGCGACAGAGGGCCTGCATCGGCTTCTCCTTCTCCTTTTGGCCTTCGCTTGCCATTTGGCTAGCCTCTGCACTGACGTCGGCGTCCTTGCCACGCAGAAACTTTAGCGCCTTCAGCGCTTTGTCGTTCTTTCCCTTCTGGGCCAAATAGACGGGCGACTCCGGCATCCAAAGGAAGAACACAAAGAAGATGATAGGCAGGATGCCGCAGAGTATGTTCATCAACTTAACTTTGGCGTAGGCACCCACGATAAAGCCGTAGAGTACGCCGTGAACGATCAGCAACTGGAAGAAGCAGCCCATGACCCCGCGCTTGCTCAGCTCGGCGATCTCCGTGTTGTACATGGGAGCCGTGATGCAGAAGGCTCCCCCGCAGGCTCCCACAATGAAGCGTCCAATCATAAGCATATAGGGCTTCTGGGCAAAGATGATCAGCAGCCAGCCAACCATGTAGGGGGGCGCCAGTCCCAGCATCGTGATCTTGCGTCCACAGATGGCAATTAGAATTCCAGCTGGAATGCACGAGGCGGCAGCTCCCAATGTCAGCAGCGATGAGATCCAGCCCCATTCCAAGGAGGTGGGTGCGAACTTGTATGCCCCTCCCGTCCGCACTTCCTCCTCAACTGGTCCCGACCACCCGATGCTGGCGCCCAAGCAGAAGGCACCAAAAGCGGCTGCCACACCAGCCAAGTACTGCTTCCAACCGCTCATATTTAATAATTGCTTAAAATATACTCCTGTGTAATATGAATGTAAAGTTTTGAGATGTTTCAATTTGGAATATCAAAATGATACTGAACCAAAACGTTGCTTTTGGATTTGCTCTATGATATTTTAAGGAGGAAGTTTTTCTGTCATGAGACATGACAACTGCTAAGCCAGCCTTGTTTATGAATCTGTTCTTTGTGTGTTTTGAGCTTAATCTGAATTGGTTTTTTTAGACTTTGAGATCCTTTTGCCTTTAAAGATACGCATAAGATAATTAATTGTTTGCCAAAAAGTTGTAGGCACTCCCAAACCCCTTCCTCTCGGTCTGGGGAAAGAGAGTGCACGGCGAGCGAAAGCTCCTGGAGCAACTGGTCTCTCTGCATCTCTCCCGAAACTTTGGCTGCGTTCGTGTCGCTTTCGGAGAGGCGTTCGGTCGGTGCTCGTTGACTGCTTGCTGTATAAAATACCGAGGCCTGTCCCAGTGTTCTGCCACTCTTGTTTCCGTCTTGACTTAGGACTGAAGCAGGAACCGTATTACGTATTTTCAGTGTTCTGGCGTAGGCGTGACGTGACGCCATGTTGTGAAAAGTGTCTGAGCAAAAATTGATAAATATTCCAGAAAAAGTGCAATCCACAAACCATTGCGAATTGAATTCAAGTGAGTAGCAAACCACACATACTCGTATATAGTCGGTTGAAAGCTGTGCAAACTCTGTGCAGGGTGTTCCATTGATTTGTTTTTCCTTTGACGCTTGGCGTGGGTGGGCGTAACGCAAGGGCGAAGAAAAAGACGCCACGAATATTGCGTAAATTTGTTTCGCAGCACTCTCTCATTTCCTGTCTCTAATTAGATATTGTAAATTGCAATTTGCTTGATTTCACAAATTGTTTGCGAATGCTTCAAGCATGTATGACTGAAACTTTCATACATCAAACGATACACACACACACACACATCTGTACACACACACACTCACCCTCGCACTCGCTGGGTACTCGCATAACAACTTGACAAATAAGTTGGTCCTCCTGTTGTCGCGGAAGTCGGCCCCAGGACACAAGTAGATGGGACAACAGCAGTCGCCCCAAATTGTAGTGTCCCAACACGATTCCATTTAAATATTTTAAGCCAAAAAGCTTTTCCACCAGCAGCCTAATTAGTCACTGACACTGCCAGCAGCTCCTCCTCGGCCAAAATGCATCCCGGACGCGACTCTATTAGCTTGGGTTCGCCGGCGGCGAATGCCCAATTCAATTTTCCCCAATTTGTTGCAGGCAAAAACAGAGAAAGCAGAGAAAATAAATAATCCAGAGCATGGTGTCCATGGTTTCAAAATTACTGCGACAAATTCAATTATCTCGCTAATATGAATCTCCTGCTGGGTCAGCCATCCACTCCTGCTGCCATTTCCACACTCTTTCCAATGGATCCTGTTTTGCAGAAAGGGATACAAAATTCATTTTCTGGGAAATCTTTGTAGTCTGCAATTGAATGAATGATTGAACCCAGCTGCGTTCTACGGAATATTCAACCAAGACAAGAGCTGAGACTCCAATCAATATTCAATCATACGAACCAGCTGCAGCTGTAGGGGGAAATGAAGTCCCACAGAACAAGTGAGAGGCAGCAACAGGCAGTCCAAACAGCACGTAGCACAACATACTTATATAATTCAATGAAAATGAAATCCGTTTATTGCATTGGCTTTCCTGCACTCACCTCACTCAACTCTAACCCGCAATAAACGACTTGACTAGATAGTGAGGAAACAAGAGCCAGCCATACAGCAATAATATAATGAAGGCAGCAACTAAGCCAAGAATAATGAAGCCAACAGCTGCAGGCGAGACACAGAAGGTGCAAGGGAGCTGCCATCCTAAAGAAAGTCCAAAGAAAGGAAGGAAAAACGTCGACTGCCTTGACATTTAATGCTAAAAATGAAAAGCAAACGTTGCGCAGGTACGGGGCAGGCAGATAGGCATGTATCGGGCTGCGTGGGTTGTTGGCCACCCGATTATAATACATCCAAGGCGTCCATCAATGCGATTTATTCCCGTTCTCTGCTAAAGCTAGGAATGTATAGCATACTTATGTGCGCCATAGTTAATGGCATGGCATGGAATGGCATGGCATGGAATGGGTGGCTCGCACTCAAAGGAATTTGGCATCCCACCAACCATTCAACATTCACATAATTGTCAACTCTGGCTTTTGTCAGAGACCAAGAATTCTGCCCACGGAGCAAACAAAGACGTGTTCATGCTCTGTGGAGAGCTGTGCTCTGCCTCCAGTTTACTGAATATGATGAAAATATTCACGCACATTGGAATTTTATTGATTTCTAAGGGGGACGGATCCTTTTATGTGCGTGGTCTGGCGGTACAAAAGAGGATGCTCTTCATTAGATAGTCGGAACCAAATGGGAAGATTATTCAAATACCTTTTGTCGGGCGGAATTTGGTTACCTGATGATGGTGATCTGCATAATTAAGTAAAGTAAAATGGAATTTTACACCCCATAAAGTAGAGTAGCTGTCGCTTCATAAGACCCCAAAGAGCACACAAAATACCAACACATGTACATATCTATGTGTATGGTTATAAAAGGTTTGCTTTAAAGTGTAAATGTAATTAAAAGTTTTTTTTTACCTTGCCGCCATGGAACGTGTTGAGCATAAACTCGTTTTTAATGCGGTTATGTTTCAACCATTCAACCGTATCCCTTTTTTTAACCCATCTCTTTCCCTTTGTTTTTTAGTTGTTGAAGTTAGCCAGCGACAGTAAGGATGGCTAAGCGATATTTGAGCCTGGTGATGCTACTGCTGCTGCAGTGCATCTGGGCCACACCACAGCGGACTGCCGCATACTCGCTTCAGGCGGCCGTTGACGAGCTGCATCGTCGCGAGGCAGCCAAATATCCATTAAATGCCCCACCCCCGCTGGATGACTGGGAAGACGGTAAGTGGGGGAGACGGGAAAAGGATACAAATTCCGCTAGAGCGTAGTTCCCTGCTTACGTAAAACGCCCACAACCACACGGACAACCACACTTTAGCTGTCACCAACCCATCACATGTCTGCTCCAGACAAAAACAAGAAACTGTGATTGAACTGAAACCTTGAAGTGACCAAAACCGCGAAACTTACGCGATGCTGGCAACCCACGAAGGTGGCTGTCAGATGCCTGGAAGCACGAGCTGTCATCTGGAACTGATGATATCCCACAATAATGTAGAGGGAGTCCGATATACTACGTATGCAACGGGCACGTGTCCGTGCAGACAGCACCCGTCCCACTCTGACCCATTGGGCAGCACATTAAAGCACAGCGCACTTTGACAATCACATTTACCGTTTCCTTTCTTCGTTCTTCATTTCTGTTTCTCTTTTACTTTTGTCCTCTCTGCTCGCTCTCCCGTGGTCCCGTTCTTTTCTGTTCTCACACTTGCCCCAGATGCAGACTTATTTGGAAAGAGCAAGAATCGTAATCGGCATCGAGTTAATAAAGTGCTCGCCAAGTACTTAGAACGCGACTCGGACGACTTTGAGCCGGATCGGGCCCTGGGCCCGCCGTTCAGTGGCTATGACTTTGGCCCTGGCGCTGGCGCTGGCGAGGATGTGGACAGCGGTCGCAATAATCTCTTTGCCGACGAGAAGAGGAAGCGCTTCTCCGCCGGCCCGTCCCTCTTCCGAGAACGTGACGAGCAGCTTGGTAAGTAAAAGCACACACACAAGCACACACGCACACGTACGCACACGCACGCACACTCGAGAAGCTGGGCCGAAAATATATGGAGGATTGGAGTGGATAAGGCATAACAATGGACCCGGCTAAAATCACTTAGCTCCGATTAACTTGTGAGTGGCATTGGCCGGGTGTTATGTGGGTCGATGATGAATGCAGTCAGCTGGAAGCAGAGAAGGGCTGCCTGCCTTCCTTCCTGCCTTCCTGTCATCAGATTTAATGGCTCTCGCAGGGCGCCAACAACTTGATGCATGTCCGTTTGGGTAGTAGATTTATTGACCGCCTCTCGGGGCAACCTGTTTGAGATTCAGTTTCAAGGTCACAGGGTTAATTCATCGTTGGTTTTCGCTCCTTTTTGCAGATTCACCAGCTCCGTCCGTGTTCCGTGAGCGTGCCGAGCCGCTAAGCGGAGAGCCCACGCATAACGAGCTGGCCGATCAGTTTCTGCGCGAGATCGAGGAGGCCGGCGAGCAGGAGCGCAACGAGCGGTACAAGGATGCAGTGCGTCAGTGGTGGCATCATTTCGACCAGCGCCAGCAACTGGCCAAAGATGTGCAGCAGCCGCAGCAGCCGCAACAGCTGCAGCAGGAACAGAATCTGGATCCCGACCTGTTCGAACAGAAGAAGCGGATGCGGGTACCACCGTACTACCTGTTGATGCAGAAGAAGCGCTCCTACCCGGTCCTTCCCTGGCTGCCGTACAATGCCGACAAGAAGAAGCGCTTCCCAGTAGCCAAGCGAGCCATTGGCAGCAACCACGAAAAGATGCCGCTGGGCAAGACCGACGAGCGAGTGGCCCAGGAGCTGAGCGAGCTTTTCGGCAATCCCGTCGACTCTCATCTGAAGCCGCAACAGGAGCAGTCGGACGAGAAAAAGAAGCGTTCGGCCGATGAGCCCAATACCACGACCACCGCCCATGTCCCGGAGATGCCGGCAGCCACGACCACGGCTCTGGGTGACATGCGATTGGAGATTAACTTTCAGCGCGTAAACGTGACCAAGGAGAAGCCTGCCACTGCCGCACCCCCAGCCGCTGGTACTGGCGAGATGGTCCAGCATGGCGGACACGCCGGCCACCATGGCAACCACGTGCCCGGCATGGCTCCCGAGTACCGCCATCGCAAGCGCAGCGATCATGTCCATCACAGGGACAGTGACGAGCACGACGTGGACGAGCACGACGATGAGGGTGAGGAGAGCTCCGACGAGGACGATCATGATGAGTTCGATGAGGATGAGGGCGAGGTCGAGCCGGACACCGAGACGGATGCCGAGGAGCGGCGCCGCAAGAAGAAGCGAGCAGCTGTCGGCGGTGGCGCCCACTCCAAACATCTGCGGGCTCCCACTGTGGGCCATCTGATGCTGAGGGCCAAGAAGTCGATCGACTGGTCCCAGTACTTTGGTCTGGACCTGGACCGCAAGAAGAAGTCTGCACAGATAACTGAGTGAGTTTTGATTGTGGGGCTCAGAGGATGTTGCAGGCAAAGTAACTGCCATCGCATCCCCACTTATTATAGGCAAACGAAGAAGCGTTTAGAAGAAGACAGCACAAACAACAATAGTAACAACAACAACGAAGAGGAGGAGCCGGAAGAGGAGGAGGAGGAGGAGAGGAAGAAGAAGAAGCGGGACATGGACCCGGAGAAGCTGGAGAGCATGGACAGGAAGCTGCAGTCGATCGAAGATTTCATCATCGATGAGACCATCAAGTATACGGGTGCCCACGAGGGCGTCAACAACAGGGAGGACATACGTAAGATCAAGGACCACGTCCTGTCGCGCTTGGCCACGGCCTACAGCCTGGAGAAGATGCGCCGTGCTCTGGACAAGCTGCGGCAGTCGGTGGACAACGATAACCACCTGCTCCGCAACACCATCGAACCAGAGTCGGAGGAGAACACCCTGGAGCAGAACTACTGGACGGCCAAGAAGCGCTACAGCGTCAAGAAGGAGCAGGCTGAGTAAGCAAAATCCCAGTATTCCCAATATTCCCAATATTCCTCACTTGATTATGTCTCTTCTGTGAACACTCAGGGAAGCCAAGCCGGCGCAGGACATGGAGAAGAGGAAGCGCAGCGGATACTTGCGTTACCCGGAGCAGCCCAACAACATGGAGGAGGCACCCGCCTCCCCTGGCAGTGTCCCCTACGAGACCCTAAACGATGCCTATCTTGGCAACAAGAACTACATCATCGGCTCCAACCAGTGCCCCGTCATTGAGTCCATGGCGGAGCGCTGTCGGGGAGTAGACTTGATTTCAGGGGACATTAATCAAGAGCTTCTTCCGCTTTGCGGTGTCCATCAGATCTGTTACCTCTGTGTAAGTATCTACTGACCCACTCCACAAGGGGGTAAAGGCATACTCTAAGTTGTCCTATATTTTCCCTACAGGGAGCCTCGCAGGTGGCCTGCGACTATCAGTATTTGGCCGAGGCTGATAGCATTTGTGGCAGCAGCAATGATTGCCAGTCGGCGGCACGCTCCATCCTGATGATACTTCGCGGCACGCCCGGCCGACAGCTGGGACCGCGCGAATGCTTGAAGAATCCATGTCTGTACAGGGCCATGCGTGAGATCGGGCTATAAACGTTTTCCTATCATTCCAAACTCCTCAGTGTGCGCTCAAAAGGAATAATCAAAGAGGCAGCTGCACAGGAGAGCAGGGAGCCCCAAGTACTATTAATCAAAAAGCAAAACGAATATGCTGAACTAGCAAAGATCAAACGTTTGATTCAAAACCAAAACCAAATATATAGAATATTTTGATGTGTGTATTTTCCTGTCTACCACTCCATAGGCGGTGGCAGAGGGCAACCTAGAGTACTACTTATGCTAATTGCAAATGTAAAATTTATAATCACTTGAACCTGCAGCAGTTGACACCGAATATGAGCTGATTTTCATTGAAAATACCAGAGTATCGAAAGAACAAGATCATCCTACTAAACACTAAACACTAAACACCAAAGATTGCATATTCGATGGAACAAACTCAGCAAGAACCCGGAGGATACAATACAAAAGAAAGCGACAGTCCATTTAAACAGCGTCTTTGAACCACACACAACACAACTATTGAATGTTACTCGTAAATGTCCAAAAACAGAAAGTTTGCTAAACATATTTAATGTTATATACGTGTTGGTGTACAAACAAAGGTCGTCATAATCAAACTTACTCTATATATCCACAGGACCTACATATATAATCAAGCCAAAAAAACCAAGAGACAATTACGCGCAAAAATGTATGTAATATTTACATTCTAAGTTTTCAGTATCCTGTTTTATGCCTTTTGCTCTCCTTGCGAGATTATTAGAGCGAATTCCAAATAGGCAGCTAGCCACCAATCGAGAATCAAATGCTTAGCCACAGCTTTGAGTTCAGTTAGTTCAGACAGAAATATACATAAAAAAACATGCAAATGCATCTATAAATGTAGATTGTATTGTAGAGCAGAGAATGAGCCGATCAAAGTGTCTCACAGCAAGGGTCCCAAATGTCAGCTTATGGGTTGTCCACAACAAAAACTAATCGATCTACATATACACATAAATATATGGTATTATATTTCAACTTGTCTTCGAATGAACATATACATACTTGAATGTGTTTCAGTGTAAAAACAATAAATGGACATAACTAAGACAAATATTCTTAACGTTCTTAACAGATCTATAGATGTGATGTGATTATATAATATACAAAACTACAATGGAAAGGAGAAAGGAGAAGGGAAATGGAAATGGAAATGGAAACTTACTACAAATAAGTGAGAAATGAGCCGCTGTACTGCACCACAGATTGGTTAAAATATATTCATTTTATTAAATCAAAATATTATAAATGTATTTACATATGTGTACCATATATACATACATGCATATACGCATTTAAATTTAACGTATGTATATGCTACAACTTGCGAAAACCCAAGAAACGTATTGGAACATATTTATGCTACACAGTTATCATCAATTTAAAACAAATAAAATTGGCTTCGGCCTCCAAAAACTCAGATTTTTATTTCCAAGCGAGAACTTTCCATATCAATAATGAAGTTTCACCACTTTACCAAATTAACGGGATAATTTCCAATCATAGGACTTTAGGGATAAAGCTACAAGAGCCTTCAAAACTTTAACGTTCTTCGCGGTTTACTTCAATAGGGGCCTTAAGTGGGTTAAGTGTGTGTTTTTTCCTCGGTATATTTAAAGTATGTTTAGTATATTTTGGGTATATTTCTGAGGATGGTATCTTTTATTGATAAATCCGTGGCCACACCACTCTGATCAAAACACCACTTCGAAAAACTAAAAAATATTAAACGTAATTTGAAAGCAATATAGCAAAGAAGGTTGTGAAAACTAGCCAATCTTGTGGAGAATTGATTGAAAAATCTGCTTATATTAGAGTTTCAGCGCTGAGACTTCTAACTAGCCAGTTATATTCCATAGAACATCAAAATCGAGGAATATGGTTTAAGATTACGGTATATTTTCAACAGAGAAGATTTATTTTGGTATATTTCTGAGGGTTCGATGGTATCTTTTATTGATAAATCCGCGGCCACACCACACTGATCAAAACACCACTTCGCAAAACTAAAAAATAATAAAATTAATAATTGAAGTGCAGTGAAATAATTGTGAACTATTTTAAAATACGGTAGTAAATTATAAATTTGTCGGGGAAACAAGGCGCGCCACACACCGTACACATAGAAATACGGACACTGCTCAGCACTTATTTTGTTCGGGTGAGTAAGAAGAAGAGGAAAATATTTGTATGAGTCATCAAGTGGAAACGAGTTATCAGGTTCAACCTCTTGTTTATATTTCCTTTCATTGGAATCAGTCTGACGTCATCACACTTTGGCAAACATGAAAACCCCCGTGTCCGCCGCTTCCCTATCCAATGCGAATGCATCGAGCGGCAGCGCTGGATCAGGCGCCGCACCGATTGTGCCAAAGACAGAACCAGTAGGCAACGAAGAGAACTCGGCGATGTCGTTGGATTTTCAAACACCTGGCCTCACCTCTACGCCCAACGCGAATAAACGTCCAGGCTTCTTGGATCTGAACAACAAGACAGCGAAAAACAAGCGCATTATTGCGCCGCTGGTGATAAATTCGCCAGATCTGCAAGCCAAGACCCTGAACACACCAGACCTGGAAAAAATACTGCTCTCCAACAACATGATCCAAACGCCGCAGCCAGGCAAAGTGTTTCCAACCAAGGTGGGACCGGTTACCTCCGAACAGGAAGCCTTTGGAAAGGGCTTCGAGGAGGCACTGCAGAACCTGCACACCAACTCGCAGGCCTTCCCACCCAGCAATCCAGCCGCCAACCCAACCGTCACTGGCACCACCATGACGGCAGTGAACAATGGCATCAGCGGGGGAACCTTTACCTATGCGAACATGGGCGATGGCTTCTCGGTCATCAAGGATGAGCCCCAGAATCCAGCGGGCTCACCAACAGTGAGTCCAATCGATATGGAAACCCAGGAGAAGATCAAGCTGGAGCGCAAGCGTCAACGGAATCGCGTTGCCGCATCCAAGTGCCGCAAGCGGAAGCTGGAACGCATCTCGAAACTGGAAGACCGCGTTAAGATTCTGAAGGGCGAAAACGTCGATTTGGGCGGCATTGTGAAGAGTCTCAAGGACCATGTGGCGCAGCTGAAGCAGCAGGTCATCGAGCATATGGAAGCCGGATGCACCGTGCCTACAATTTCGGCGCCAGCCGTGCTATCGGGCAAATAACATATGGATACCACTGAGGAGCCGTTTGCGTTGCCAGCAGAGAGGAATGATGATGGGCAGATGGATTCGAGGACAGACAGCATTGAGGATGAGCATACGCTTGTTGATGATACGAATGCAGAGCTCTTGGAGCCGGGAATTCCCTTGGAACTCTTTCTAAGCGCAACCACAAGTGCACTAGAGCTAGACACCGTATCCTCGAATGCCCCATCCATGTCGGAGAGCGATCTGCTGGGTGTCGTCGGTGTAGATAAATTGGAAGACGGAGACTGCGATGACCAGCCGCTGGTGCTGTACATAGTGTCAGAAAATGGCTGCGATCCACCAGTTGCGAGTTGAGTTTGATCCGAATATGATCAAGTCCCTGGAGTGCCTTTGCTTATCTTTTATTTCTGCGCAACGTGAAATGGCTTTGACTTTGCTGCAATATTATACACAAATGCTTCTTAAGTGTTTTCGTTTACTTAGTTTTAGCTTAATGTTCAAGTAAGTATTATCTGTGTTGATCGTAAGATAATATAATGTCAAATACACTATAACATATATATAAAAGAGTATGAATATCTGATAAAAGTATGTGCATATATATTTTTACTTCATATATACATAAACAATTAATTCTACACTTAAAACTAATTTATTCAGCTTCGTCCTCTTCGTCTTCATTCTCATCTTCGTCCATTTCCTCTGCATCCTCTTCTACGGCGCTGTCGACTTGGGTCTCATCGTTTATACCGTCCTCGACGTGCAACTGGAAGCCATCACTCTTTGTCCAGGAACATCTCATCGTCATTTGAAACTTGGCCATCGGTTTGCCCACCAATTTGAGTATACGCGCCTGCTCGGGTGTTAGCACCTTTCCCTCTTCGCACACGGTGTAATCACTGTAGATGGTTACGATGCCCTTTTCCAGCTTGGTGGGCATGCCCAACGAGCGCAAATGCGGCTCCATGGAGTGGGCAAAGTCCTCGAGGGGACCGGCTGGCAATGTAACCGTCTCGGTTGCGATGAAACCACTTCGCGCGTATTCCACCGCCCAGTAGTTTTCGGCCCATTCCAGGACTTCCTCTTTGGACTTTTCTGTGAACAGTAGACCCACCTGGCCGTTGAGGCGCTTGGCGAGCTGTTTCAAAAAACAAACGATTATAAATGCTAGTGGATCAATTTATAGATTGACGAGCACTCTTACCTTGTGCAGACCTGCTTCCATTTCTTCGCTCTTTGTGCGTCCCAGGCCGATTTGCATAACGCGGTTTTTACCAAAAATGATGCGCGAGTTGTTTTTCCATTCCTGTCGCAGGTCTTTCAGTATGCTGTTGCGCATGTTTTGCACCTGGAACACGAATATGTTGGGGTACTTTCCTACGCAGAATCTGATATCATCTACGAATCGCTGTTTCCAAGCCAGACCCTTGCGGTCGGTTTTTGTCAACGACACTGTAACAGACGATTTCTGGGCTTAGACCAGCTACAAATCTTTCAATTAATAGCTGAAGACGTACCTTTCTTATCACGTTTGGAGCGTGGCATTTTTATGTGTAGGTAAGGACTGGTTTAAATTTGAAGTTGAAAACACCAAAATAATGCGTGCAGTAGACACGTGCGGAGCGTGAGATATATCGGTGACGGCCTCGTTGGTATCGATAGGTGCACCTTGAATCGGAATGCATCCTTGGCAAGTTGCACGCTAGAGATGGCAAGTAGCACTCACGCAAAAGCAAAAGTGGTTAATTACTTTGTAAAATATAAGGTCATAAGGTATACAAGCCAATAGAAGTGAGTATTTATATTAAACCAAATCGACTCTTCAATCGGATTAAATTATTGTTTATGTGTTAAAAGTCTTTGCAAGTTAGTAAAATCCAATAGAACATCAAAATCGAGGAATGCTATTTAAGATTACGGTATATTTACGGTGTATTTTTAAAATGGGATGGTATATTTGGTTTATTATTGAGGGTCTGACGTTATATTTCATCGATAATTCCGCGGTCACACTGGCAAGAGTCGAAAGGTGGGAGTCATTTTTAATTAATTAAACAAATTAAAGGAAAAAGTAATGTATAATTTAATGCATTCGTAAACCGGGGCAAGTGTCTTTTGCCAATATTTATAATAACGCGAGGGCGCAGTGAGTCATGCAACTTGTGAATCGTCCGTCGGCTTCTGACCGCCATATTGTCGGCGGCGCGGCCCTTATTTTCTTTTATAAACCCATATGTACATAATTATCGATTTTGTTGCCTAATTAGGGCGAATGCAATGTGCTGTCCTCAAGTGATACGTGTGATTAACAACTATTGCTAAATGCCAATAGAATTACCGCATATGTGTGTGAGAGAATGGGACGCCGATGACGTAATTTTTTTCCGTCTTGTTCTTTGTGAATTGCCAAGTAAAAAGTAAACAGCGTTGCCAGCAACAAAAACTTTAATTCAGTTACTCTTTGAAACATAAGTGGAGGTGATATCTCGCCTGGCCAGCCCATATGCTCTGTGCAGACCGAAAATTCTATGGTTTCCACATTAGAAATAAGGCAATTTGGTGCTTCTTATCAACAAAATACATCTGCCGATTAGGTACCTCCTTCGGGGCCATAAAGTTAAGATAAAAACGTAATCTGCGAGCAGATAACCGACTCAAAGTTTCAACAGGTAGTGGGGAAACGCGAACTATCGTTCTCGAATACTCTTCAACATCCATAGAGGATGTGTGAGCACATGAATGTTAATTCATATTCGGAATTTCAATGCACTTAATGCCCGTCTGTCTACGCCACATTAAAATTATACCATTAAATGGCAATTGCGCACAATTGACGCGGCCAGTGATGGGCGATGCTGCTGTTTCTGTTTGTCCCAAACATTCCATGTCATCAAAATACCATACTGCAGACGTGTTAATTGATGTATATATATTTATCTTATTGAGCTCCATGTCCATATCTACACAGCTATGCTTGGCAAGTATGTTGTTCAAAATTTGAATATTTAGCATCGGTTGACGCAGAGCAGTGCACACCTGGCAACACTATGGGCACCGTCAGGTTGGCAACCCTGAAGTGGCGGGCATGCGCCGCCTGTGTATGTGTGCCTCCAACGCACACTCTAACATAATCACATCATAGCAGCACAGATACAGCGGCAAACCAACCTTTGCTGCCGTCGCTTTCATTCGGTCGTTGGTAGTGTTCGTCGTCGTTTCAAGTTAATCGAGAATGTAAGTAACATATTTTGTTGGGCCGAAAAGTATGTGTGCACTGCATACATGGAATATTTGTGCGAATGTGTGCACGTATATGCTGAAAATTTAAAACGGAAAATATGCAAGAACACGTGTAAAATCGGTTAAAACGAGTACGAGAAATGATGGAAAATTTTCCAGAACGTACGTGCACATATACCGCACGGCGCAACTATGGTTGTACCAAGCGTACTACCTTTTTACGCATCGTTCCATAAGAGATCGATCAAAAAAAATCCTACGCAAAACGTAGAAATGTGAATTTGTGCGAAAAAAAGAGTGCCCGAGTTGCCAGGGTGTTGGTGTATGTATGTGATGCGGTGAGATTCGTGTCTCATCAGCTCTGTTAAATTGTAGGCGGCGGGCATAGCCGACTTCTATATACACACATATATATATATATGGCAATATATATACCCATGCCATGTATATATATATAAACTTGGATGGGGACACGCGGTTAGGTGTGTTTTTGAACTCAACACACTTTTGTCCGACTGTGGTAGATACATTTTCTCTCTCGCCGCCTTTGCGGCTATCTGTGTGTGTGTGTGTGTGTGTGCGAGAGTATTTTTGTACGCGTTCGCTCTCCTCATCGCTCTCGGATATTTTTATAATTCTGTAGCGCCGCACTTGGAAACACGATTGCCCCAAGCAACCCACCGACATCGTCAAGAGCCTAATACTCGTACATTACTCACAAAAGTTAGTAACTTTTTTCCTCACACACACACAGAGACGTGTAGCTGGGTGTCTACATGTAGAGGAATTTCTACATTCTACGTTTCTATTCTTTTTAGCTACTGCGCATGCTGTGTACAATTCACCGTTTCTTGGCTCATGGGGCCGGCGCAAGAACACTCATACACTTGCACAAATATAGTATGAGCGTGCTTAAAGTGCCGTCATCATTGTCTGCCCCATGCCGACCGACACTTTTGTAGACTTCGCTCGATGCGGCTCCCTCCGTCTCTGGCTGGTGTGTCAGAGAACTTTTTGTAATAGATGCATGTGTGTGCGTGCGGAATGCATGGGGATTAGCAATGTTAGCGCCGATTTTTCCTCTTCTCGATTCATGATCATCATCATCAGAGATTTGTTATTTGCGTGGTTGGGGCAAGTTTCGAGCAATATAATAAAATACAGGTCTCTCCATTGAAAACCTCATGTACTGGGGAGCGTTTCGTTACGCCTCGCTTAATATTTTGGCAATTAGGGCGCCAGATAAACACGTCATTGACCCAAAAACGAGTTGGTCGCCAAACCTTCTACATGTCTGTTTCTGTGCCTCTCCCTCACCCACCCACTCGTCTATTATGTACTTGGATATATTGTTTGCATTGACACAAAGGGTCAATGTTTTTTGATTTGGAGGCCGATAGCTGCCGGCGTAATCCGGAACACAATGTAAATCCAATTTATGGATTGCTTGGTGGTGGTGGGGCGGTAGAACATGGAAAGTTTTCACCGGAGATTTCAGACATTGCTACTGCATTCTTGTTTGATTGTCGAAGCTTCCTCTGGCGTTTTCCATCTCTTTCCAACAACGGAAAACAAAAAGTTTTGTCCAGAGCGGCCGTTGTCTAAAAATACCAGCAACGCCCACATGCATTCCCCCCCCCCACGCACACTCACACACAGCATTTGTTCCTCCCTCCCTCACCTACTCTGACTACCCCTCACTTCATCGTGCTGGATTCGAGCTTTCTCTAGGCAGAGAGCGGAAATTAATCGATTTCCTGTCAAAAGGAACAGGAAAATTGATCCTACGATAAAATTTGATCCTGTTTGCTCTACACGAAACATTTTCTAAATGGATTATGTGAGTCAGATTACTTGCAAAATTTGTTTTGTTAATAACTGATTCGCAGTAAATCGATAGCCGGTTGCTTACTGTGCAAATAATGGAGTGCGTCACTGTGTACGACTTGCAATCAAACGTATGTATCGTACATACAAATGCATGCACGAACATGAATATCTATCTTTGGCACACTCAAATACACACTATTAAAAAACACACGAACACACAGATAGTCACAGAGGCGAGCCGCCTTTTGCTCTATTTTCTCCTCCGTCTCTCTTCCTCTCGCAGAATTCTTTTTTATTCATGATTTATTTTTATCTTTGTTGTCGAACTTGTGTTTTACTCGTCTTTGCTACATTTCCATCCACTCCTCGTATACAGATGATCAGATACTCCTCGTAATATTCGTCTTATTTAACTGACTCAAAAGTTTAGAGTCTAAACTAAGCTTTAAGTGGTTGACGCACGTGCGTACATGTTTCAATGCCTGTATTTGTATTTGCCTTGTAAATTAGCCATTCAATCAGCGATCGGCCTTCTGTGAGTCATCAAAAGTTTCAAACATTACACTTT